TTTATGGAGTTCTGCGGCGGCGGAGACATCGCGGGCTATATCCAGAAACACGGAGCGATTCCCGAGGAGAAGACCGGCTGGTGGTTCAGCCAGACGTGCGGTGCCCTCCAGTATCTGCACGAGAAGCTGCATATGTGTCACCGAGACATCAAAGTGGACAACATTATGCTCAACGAATCGCAGACCAGCGCTAAACTCACGGACTTTGGCTTCGCGAAGGAGTCGTGGGACTCGGATCAGGACAAACCCAAACTCTCGAAGACCTTCTGCGGGACTGAACCCTATTATAGCCCACAGATTGTGATGAAGAAGGAGTACAACCCGTTCGCGGCGGACGTGTGGGCGATGGGCGTCGTGTTGTTCTGTATGTTGAACAACAAGTTCCCCTTCCATTTCGGTGATCCCAAGAAGATGTATAAAGAACAGACTGACCGCAAGTACATTGAGGGCCGTTTCGCCAAAGAATACTCTCCCGATTGCAAGGATTTGCAGTACAAGTGCTGGGAAGAGGAGGAGAAGGCGCGGCCGACCATCGGTGACGTTTGCAAACACCCGTGGGTTGAGAGGAAAGGCAAGAAGCAGTGAAACACATCTCCCAATTCAAGACACAAAACCCAATCGACCGCAAAATTTCACTATTATTTTCGATGTAAAAAGTCTTACTTTTGTGTTATTTTTCTTTTCAAATGCTTTCAACAATTGATTCCAATGTAAGACTTCTCTCAAATTGATTAAAATATATTAAAACACATTCAATGTCTCATTCATTACAACTCTTGTCAAATGAAATTACTTTTTAAATATTCAAAATGATTATAAAGTTTCAAACACTGTATTACTTGTCCCTAACTAACAGCTAATGTAATTGTTTGTATTGCACTGTATTTAACATTTGGTTTAAATAAACATAATTTATAAAATGTGTACATTTTGTGGTCAAAAATGAAATAATTATTACTTATTACAAATGAGAAAAAGTATACTTACGGTAGTTTTGTGTAATAATTGTGTTTTAATAATTGTATTGTGTTTTGTGTAATGCCTGTTTGATACAAACACTTTTAAAAATTCCCAAAAGTCTTAAAACAATTACAATAATAGCATACAATTTAGGATTTTATCGAGTGATTAGTTGGATTCAATAAATTTACAATTAATAGAAATAATGTAGTTACATGATATATCAATATTTATTCTATAAATTTATAAGTTATTTTAATTCTGCAATTCTATACTGTATTTAAAATACAATAATTAATAGTTTTGTAATCAATTTGTAATACAGTATATCTATACTTTTTATTAAATAAAAATTGTGATTAGTTGCTAATTATGAAAATATATTTGGAAATAGTTTGTTAGGAAATGCAATCATTGATTAGAAACTTGATTTTTTTTTGTATTCAGTGTAAGACTATTGGGAATATTATTTCCATGAATTTAATAGATTGAAGGTCTCAATGAAAACGAAGTTATATTTCACATAAATTTAAAAAACATTTCCATATAATTAAAAATAATATTAGAATTACATTCTTTGATGTGAATTGTGATAAATTGAGTGATTTTTAATTAGATATAAAAGTAAAGAGTTGTCATAAATAAGATGAAGGGTATCACAAGTTCTCAATTAGTAAAATTTACAAATTATTTAAAT